AAAAGAGGCCTGAAAACCTCCCCGCCTTCTTCCCAAGCGTCAGGAATACGCATGCGCACGCTGAGTGGGACTACATCTTCCAGGAGGCTCTTCGCTTCCCCTTTGTGAGGGGGCGGGGCTTGACCGCGGGAAAACTACGTTACCCAGGGATACCACGCCGCTGGGCCCTCCAGCGTAAAATGGTTGGTCCAGCGGTTGTCGGAAGCTGTGCGTTGATTGGCCCAGAAGCCCGTCAGTTACTGGCAAGTGCAGTTAAGTTTTGCGGTTAGATTGCGTGGAAAGGGAAGCACCCCGCGTGCGGAATCTGGCCGCGCTCGCCGCGCCCGGTGCGTGACCTCACCCTTCGCGGTCGTTCGGGTACTCTCAGGGACCTGCACACCCCCCACCCCACCCCACCCCCGCTCCTCGGGCCGGACCACAGGGAGCACAGGAAGGCAGGTACTCATGCGGGGGAGGGACGGATGCTCACATGGCACACCTGACCTAAGAAGCATCTTCAGGGACGCGCTAGGGGAAACTCCGCATAGCCTCCCCCGCGCCCGTGCACACTGGGGTGTCCACCTCCCTGGACTTAGGGTCCTCTCCCTCCTCCCCCGGGCGCCGCGGTACCCACGTCGGGACATTTGCACAGCCCCTAAGCAGAACACGTGGGTGCTCGGGTACTCACCTCTGGGCACCTGTCTACCGGCCTGGGGTCTTAGGCAGAAAAGAAGCTATGTAAAGGTAAACTCCCTTGCACCCCACACCCTGCCTCTGATTGCCAGCAACCGCCCTGCCTTGGTCCTGGGTGTTTTATGTTAATGCAGTCATTTCTAAAATCTGTTTAGGTATCAAAGAGTATGGCTGTAAGGGGATTTCAAATTAACAGAATATTTATTTTTGTTGTTTTGAGAGTAGCCTTGAACTTGCTGTGCAACCAAGGATGACCTTGAGCTTCTGGATTTCAGGACTGTCACCGTGCTGGTGGCGGTTGAACCTAGGGCCTCATGAGTACTCCACAAGCACTCTAGCAACTGTGCTGCATTCCAAGCCCTAATTTTTGAAATTCTTATGTTATTGTAATTTTCTTTTCTGGAAAAAACAAACAAGCATATTTTAAAAGATCTCTCAGGCAGGGTGTGGTGTGGTGGCACACACTTTTAGTCCCAAGCAGAGGCAGGCATATCTCTGTGAGTTCAAGACCAGCCTGGTCTACAGAGTGAGTTCCAGGCCAGCTGGGGCTACAGGGAGACCCTGTCTCAAAAAGACCAATAAATAAGTAAATAAGTAAATAAATAACAGGTGTTATGACTTACTGGTTTTCAAAATTTATCCTATAATTTGCTCAGCAGTCCAGACCAAGCAGGTCATCATTCCCACTTTCTAGAAAAGGCCATGGTTTAAAATCTGCCCATGGTGTATGGAAGAGACAGAATTGAACCCAGGTTTTACTTAATTTTATTTACATTTATTTACGTGTATATGTGTGTACACACACAGACATGCCATAGTGTATCAGAGGACAACTTACAGGAATAGTTGCTTTTCTACCATGTGGGTCCTGGAGATGAAACTCAGGTTGTCAGGCTTCGCAGGAGACACCTTTACCCAATGAACAATCTGGAAGGCCCCAGACTTTTATTTTTGGCAGTACTGGGAATTTCTCTGAGCTATATGCCCAGCCCTCCTTCTTTCTTTTTTTTTAATTTTTTAAAATAGTAAAAATTTTATGTGCCTGTGTGTATTGCCTGCATGCATGTATGTAAGTGCACCCATATCATGCAGTGCCAGAGGAGGTCAGAAGAGGGCATCAGATCCCCTAGAACTGGAGTTACAAGTAGTTAGCTGCCATGTGGGTCCTCTGCAAGAGCAGCCAGTGCTCCCAACTGTTTGTGCTCCCCCCCATCCCTTTTTAATGTCTGTGTTGAATCAAATCCAGGGTTTGGGGCATCCTAAGCAAACACTACTTTTTTTGTTTTGGTTTCTTGAGAATAGTTTCATATAGGCCAGATTGATTCCTAATCCTCATGCCTCTACCTCCCATGTTCTGGGATTACAGATGTGAGCCACAGCATCCAGCTTTCTTTTTACTTTTTTTGCAACAGGGTCTCCCTGTAGCCCCAGCTGTCCTGAATGGAACTCACAATGTAGACCAGTATGGCCTCCAACTCATAGAGATACCCCTGCCTCTGCCTCCCAAATGTTGGGATTAAAGGCATGCGCCACCATATCCAGCTCTCTTTTTACTTTTCATTTTAAGACACGGTTTCACTTTGTAGTCCAGACTGACCTCAAACTTGTGGTCTTCTTGCCTTGGTCTCCTGAGTAACTGTAACCTAGGCTTTTTGATCTGATGCCAGTGATGCAGAAATGTTTATTTATTTAAATCTGCATATAACCCAGCCTCTCCCACCTTCTCCTTGGTTTGAATTGTGCAGTTACTGGCTGGGCTTCCAGGGAGAAGAGGCTGATACCTTCTCAGCCTGTCCTGAAACTGAGCCAGGACACCTGCCGCTCGGCTTTCTCACTCCTTCCCTCCTGACTGTAGGAAAGCTGATACTGTTCAGGACTAAGCAGGCCCCTGGCAACCCTGAAGAGGGCTCAGTCACCAAGTCCCATGCCCTTATTTAACCTGCTTCTTCCAGGTGTGGAGGAGAGATTCCAGGATAGATGAGAGAAGGGGGAAAAAAAAATCAAAATGAGGGTGTGGAAGTGGTCGTTGGCTTGTCAGTGACCTCATAACTGCTAAGAGTCTTCAAACTGTAGGTTAATTCTCAGAGCTTTTCTAACATCATTTTATATTTTAAAGGTGTTTTGTTTGTTTCTTTTGTTTTTTTGTGTGGGGGGTTGTTTGTGTGAGACAGGTTCTCACTATAGCTCTTATTGGCCTGGAATTTGCAGTGATTCTCCTGCCTGTGTCTCCCAAGTGCTGGAGTTTCAGTGAAGGAAGGGTGAAGAGGTCGCTGGGTTATTCCTTTGTATAGTGAAGGTTTGTTAGAGACCAGGAGGATTTTTTTTTTTTTTTGGAAAAAGTCTTTTATTATATTTGTTTATTTGGGGGATGGGCACATGTGGAAGACAAAGGACAACCTGTGAGAGCTGGTTCTGTCATGTGGACCCCAGGTCAAGAGCCCTTTACCTGCTTTGTCATCTCACTGGCCAAGAATTTTTTTTTTTTTTTTTTTTGTCCTTTTGAAGCAGGGTCTCCCTGTAGCCCCAGCTGTCCTGGAACTCACTATGTAGACCAGGCTGGCCTTGAACTCACAGAGATCCGCCTGCCTCTGCGTCCCAAGTGCTGGGACTACAGGTGTGTGCCACCATGCCCGGCAAGAATTGGATTTTTTAAAAAAAGATTTTGTATATGTGTGCATGTATCTGGTTTTGTCTATATGAATGTATACATGTGAATCAGATATCCTTGAAGACCAGTAGAGGGTGTTGGACCCCTTGAAGTTGGAGTTATCGGTGTTTGTGAGCCTCCTGATATGGGTGCTGGAATCAAAATTCTGGTCCGCATCATGGAGTAGCAAGTGCTCTTAACCAATGAGCCATCTCTTAAGGTTTGAGAATTGGACTTTGGAGACAGGGTCTCAAATAGCCCAGGCTGACCTTGAGCACAATATGTTGTTGAGGGTGGCTTTGAACTCCTGATCCTCCTGTTTCCACCTCCCATTTGCTGAGATTCTAGGCCTGTGCCAACATACCTGCTTTACGGTTAGCTCTTTTCTGGCACAGGAAATGCAAGACAGACCATTCAAACCATCCAGGGACTTGCATTCTAGTTGGGGGAAGACAAGAAACAAATGTGTCTGTGTCCCACAGTAATAAGGCTTTTTTACAAAGAAGGCTGGTGCTTTATCTGGGCTGGCCAGGTAGGGCCGCTGTGGGGAGGTGGTGACCCTAAGGGACTTGTCTCATCTTTGTGACTCTTACATTTAGGCTTGATGCTCATGGATGTTGGATGGACCAGAGGCAGGGATGGTCGGCTATGACGCCAAAGCAGATGTCAAGGCTAACTCCAAGTTGGACGTGGCGGTGGCAGGGTCTGTATCTGGATTTGTTACTCGTGCCCTGATCAGCCCTTTGGACGTCATCAAGATCCGTTTCCAGGTACCCTTTCCCCCGTTTTCCATGTAATGGGCTAGAGGACAAATTCAGTCCTTCTTGCAAAAACTTGGAATTTTGTCAAGGTGAACTCAGCATTTCATTTCCTAACATTGCCCCTTGTCACCCCCCCCAACTCCTGTCTTGACCTTTTTGATTTTGACCCCTAGCTTCAGATTGAACGCCTGTGTCGAAGTGACCCCAACGCTAAATACCATGGGATCATCCAAGCATGCAAGCAGATTCTGCAGGAGGAGGGCCTAGCAGCCTTCTGGAAAGGACACGTTCCAGCCCAGATTCTCTCCGTGGGCTATGGAGCTGTCCAAGTAGGTAGCAGGGGACCGTGAGGTCACTGGGGTCACATTGCTCTGTGGAGCAGAGGGAGGGTGCAGCAGTTAAAGAATACGGCCCTTGATGGCAGTGCCTACTCTGTCCTCTTGCCTTAATGGGAAGCCAGCTGACCTTGTGAAAACATCAACAGACTGAGCCCCACCTTAGACCTTTCCTTCCTCATATCCCCACCGTCCATCCAGTCTTCCCACACCATGTTCCCATACAACTTGGTAAAGAGTAACAGTAAGGCCTTTCCTTTCCTTTCCTTTTTTTTTTTTTTTGTCTTTTTTGAGACAGTCTTCCTGTAGCCCCAGCTGGCCTGGAGCTCACAGAGATCTGCCTGCCTCTGCCTACCTAGTGCTGAGATTAAAGGCGTGTACCACCGTGCCGGCTAAATTACATTTTTTAAAAAAACTTTTATTATTTTATGTGTATAAGTGTATTGCTTGCATGTGTATAAGTGGACCTATGTCATGCAGTGCCCGCAGAGGTCAGAAGAAGGCATCAGATCCCCTGGGACTGGAGCTAGAGATCGTTGTTAACCATCATGTGGGTGCTGGGAATCAAACCCAGGTCCTCTGCAAGAGCAGTCAGTGCTCTTAACCGCTGAGCCATCTCTCCAGCCCCTGAATTACATTGTTTTAACTTTTTAACTTTTTTTTTGGAAACAGGGTCTCCCTGTAACCCCAGCTGGCGTGGAACTCACTATGTAGACCAGCTGGACTTTGAATTTACAGAGATCTGCCTGCTTCTGTCTCCCAAGTGCTGGGACTACAGGCCTGTGCCACCACCCCCAGCACATTTTTTTAATTTTAATTTTTAGTTTCATTTATTTATTATTTTATGTGTATGGATGTTTTGCCTGCATGTATGTGAGTATACCATATCTGTGCAGTGCCCCCAGGGAGCTGAAGACGGTGTTGGACCCCCTGCAACTAGAGTTAAGGATGGGTGTCAGCTACCATGTGGGTGCTACGAACTGAACCCAGGTCCTCTGTAAGAGCAGCCACTACTCTTAACCTCTTAACTGCTGAGCCATCTCCCTTTGCTCCTTTTGTTTTTAAAATTAGTTACTTTTTTTGTGACAGGGTTTTACTATGTAGTCCTAACTGGCCTGGAACTTGCTATGTAGACCAGGATAGTCTTGAACTCACAGAAATCTGCCTACCTCTGCCTCATGATTACTGGGACTAAACACATGCACCACTATCCCCAGCTCTTAAATTACATTTTATTTTATTTTATTTTTTGTTGTTGTTGTTGTTTTTGACAGGGTCTCTTTAGTCCCAGCCTGCCCGAAAGTCACTATGTGAACCAGGCTGGCTTCATTCTCACAGAGATCAGCCTGCCTCTGCCTCCCAAGGGCTGGGATTAAAGCCACACACCACCACACCTGGTGCTATGTTTTATTTTTTTATATTTTTATGTTTATTTTTATTTTATTTTATTTTATTTTTGTCTTTTTGCTCCCCGTAGCCCCAGCTGTCCTAGAACTCACTGTGTAGACCAGGCTGGCCTTGAACTCACAGAGATCCATCTGCCTCTGGGACTAAAGGCTTGCGCCACCACGCCCGTCTTATTTTGATTTTTATGTGTATGCATGTTTTGCCTGCATGAATGTAAGTGCACGTGTGCAGTGCCCACAGTGGCCAGAAGTGGGCACTGAATCCCCTGGAACTGGAGTTAGAAATGTGCGTGCTGGAAGCCAAACCTGGGTCCTCTGCAGCTGCAAGAGCAGCTTCTCCTTCTACCCCGTGGGTCCCAGGGATTGAACTCTTGTCGTCAGGCTTGGCTTCAGGCACCTTTTCCCACTCTTTCATCCTCTGAAACAGTACCTTTGCCAGGTGGTTTGCGTGCACTTCAGGCGCTTAAGAGGAGCGTAGAGCATCAGGCTTTACATGGACTGCAGGGAAGCAAGGGCAGCTGCCAGGACCTCACGGTCAGTTCGTGGCAGGCAAGGACTGACACTTGGGCTTCTGGTTTTGGCCTTGCCTTCCTTTAGCCAAGTGCCAGTGTATTTTGTGGCATGTGAAATACACTGGCACTTGGTAGGAGTGATGGAAATGTCCCAACCCTGTAGAGTGCAAGTAGGCCTGGCCCCTGGCAGTGGTTGTGTGAGGTGAATTTGTTTGTCACTCTGATTTTACAGAACTGAAGCCTGTGGCTGAGAGAGCTTATGTGGTCAATTTCTCCAAAGTTTTTGCAGGAACATGGCAGGGGAGCAGGTGGTATAGTGGGAGAGCCGGGAGTAGGACCTGGGCAAGCTCCTGTGTGTAAGGCCCTGGCTTCGGTCCTTAGCAAGGCCAAAAATAGATGAGAAAGAGGCAGAGGCAGGCTCCTCCCTGGTGCTTCTGACCCCCTCATAGCCTGTTGAAGTGATGTGCCTACCAGGTTGGTGTGTCTCTGCCATTCTGTGACCTCATCCAGCAAACAAGTAGACATTGCACCATGGAGAGTAAAATGCAGCAGCATGGTGGTCTCAGGAAGCTGAGATGTCTGCAGGTGTTGGGGAAAGCCATGCGTATGGGGGGGTTACCCATGGAACTCTGCCATGAACCTGGCAGAGATTGAATCATATAATGGCTGGCTTTTCCCAGGTCTCAGAGAAGTGAATGAGTGGAGTTTCCTGATACAGAACTTTTCCAAGCCTGTGTTGTGATACACACCTGTAATCCCAGCACTCAGGAGACTGAGGCAGGAGGATGGACACAAATTTCAAGGCCATCCTGGTCTAGGTAGCAAGTTCCAGGCCAGCCAAGTCTACGTAGTAAGAACATAACTCATAAACAAAACAATAAAATATCCCGTTTTTTTCTTTATTCTTTTTCTTTTGTGTATCTGTTCATGTGTGCATGCATATGGAGGCCAGAGATGTGTGTTCCTCTGTCATGATTCACTGTGCTTGGTTTGGTTTTGGGTTTTTTTGTTTTGTTTTGTTTTTTTTGAGACAGGGTTCTCACTGTGTAGCCCTGACTGGCCTGAAATTCACTGTGTAGATCAGACTGGCCTGGAGCCTACAAAGCCTCTGCCTTCCCAGGCTGGGTTAAAGGTATATGCTAACTTGCCCAGCCTCCATTGTATTTTTAAAGATACATACATATATTTTTGGTCTTTTTGAGACAGGGTCTCCCTGTAGTCCCAGCTGTCCTGGAACTCACTATGTAGACCAGGCTGGCCTTGGACTCACAGAGATCGCCTGCCTCTGCCTCTCAAGTGCTGGGATTAAAGGCGTGCGCCACCACGCCCAGCATTTTAAAGATATTTTATGTGTATGAGTGTTTTGCCTGCATGTAAGTGCACCCATGTCATGCAATGCCTGCAGAGGCCAGAAGAGGGCGTCAGATCCCCTGGAACTGGAGTTATAGTTGTTAGCTGACATGTAGGTGTTAAGAATCAAACTCACAGAGATTCACTTGCCTCTGCCTCCCAAGTGCTGGGATTAAAGGCATGTGCCACCATGCCTGGCCCCTTTATCATTTTTATTTTATGTGTATGAACGTATTGCCTACATGTGTAAATACACTCATGTCATGAAATACCCACAGAGGTCAGAAGAAGGAATTGGTTGTTAGTTGACATGTGGGTGCTGGGGAATTGAATCTGGGTTCTCTGCAAGCACGGTCAGTGCTCTTAACCGCTGAGCCATCTCTCCAGCCCAGCCCCTCCCCCTCTTTTTTTTTTTTTTTTTCCGGTCTTTTTGAGACAGGGTCTCCCTGTAGCCCCAGCTGTCCTGGAACTCACTATGTAGACCAGGCTGGCCTGGAACTCACAGAGATCTGCCTGCCTATGCCTCCCAAGTGCTGGGACTACAGACGTGCGCCACCACGCCATGCCCCTTGGTGACTTTTTTGCTCACTCTTTCAGTTTTTGTCATTTGAAGAGCTGACTGAGATGCTTTACAGAGCCAACTTGTATGACACTCACGAATTCTCAGCACACTTCATTTGTGGTGGACTGTCTGCTGCCTTAGCCACTCTGGCTGTGCATCCTGTGGATGTTCTGCGCACACGCCTTGCAGCTCAGGGTGAGCCCAAGGTGAGTGCTCAGGACCCAACAAGGGAGGTCTGAACGAGGAGGACCATATAGGACTTGGCACTCTTGTCCTTGGCAGAGGCAAAACTGGGGCACCTTGATTCTCTGCATGATGACGATCACTTCATAAGGCCTGTAGCTAGTCAGCTCTCTGCAAGGTGCTTCGTGTCCTTTCCTCCCGGTAGCCCATAACCTCCCTGGGGAGACAGAACCCACATAGGTGAGACAGTAAGTATCCAGTAGTGGCTGATGAGGGTAGGTGTCTGGGAAAGTGGGATTCAGGCTGTGGTACCTTGAGAGTACCCTTGGTTTCCTCAAAGAATGGGTTGAAGATGGGATAGATGAGTTAGACTCAGGGAAGGACTTACTGAAAGCAATGAATCAAGTCCTGTGTCTTAGTTACTTTTCCTATTGCTCTGATAAAATGATGAAAGCAACTTAAGGGAGAAAGGGTTTATTTTGGCTCATAGTTCAAGAGACCATCATGGTGGGGTCACAGTGTGTCTGCTATTAGGAAGCAGAGAGCGATGATCATTTGTGCTCAGCTTGCTTTCTCCTTTTTATGCAGTCGGAACCTAAGCCCTTGGAATGGTACCACCTGCTTTTAGTGTGGGTCTTCCCACCTCAACTATCCTAATTGATAATCCCTAACAAACATCTCAGAGGCATGTCTCCCAGGTGATTCTACATCCTGTCAAGTTAAAAATATTAACCATCCTGTCCTGAAACAGACGTCCACCATGATCTCTGCTTCTTGGGGTGTATTTAAGAAAGACCAAAAAAAAAAATAGCATTACTGACTGGGGACTCGATCCTGTAATCCCAGCACTTGGGAGACAGTTTAAGGTCAGCTTGGGCTAGAGTGAGACTGTATCCCTAAAACAATGTAAGGAATTTGTCTGAAGGCACAGTGGGTAAAGGCACTGGCCACCAAGTCTGGCGACCTGAGTTCAGTCTCTGGAGCCCATAATGGAAAGAAACAACCCCCACAGTTTGTCATCTGACCTCTACATGTGAGACATGGCATACATATACCCCCTCATACACAATAAATAAATGTAAAAATAAAATAGAGTAGAACAGCAATGCATGTGTGGGTGTGAGGGTGTGTGTGTGTGTGTGTGTGTGTGTGTGTGTGTGTGTGTGTGTGTGTCCAACTGCTTCTCTTGGATTTTAGGCCCTCATTAGTAGGGAAGGAAGGACACTTTGTTTAGGAATTTGATCAAGATCCTTGGAGTCACTGTGGTTTTGGTTCTGCCTGGCCTTTTAGTTGGGTGGGTAGACATTCAGACAACACTTTGGTCGCAAAGAGCCAGGTCTCCTGGGATTAGTCTGAAAGACAAGGATTGTGGCGTAAGAGCCAAATTGCTGCATATGATAATTCAGTAAGAAATTAAGAGGTTGAGGTGATTGCCCTGGTGGAGAAATGGGGTGAGGGGCCATAAGAGCTAAACAGAAATATGGAGGGGGGGCTTTCATAGAGGACAAGTCACTTTAGCACTGCGGCGGGGGGGCTTGGGCTAAAAGGAAGGTGGCTGGTGACAACCCAAGGTTTTCTGTACTGCTCCTGTTTCTTTCCAACCTTCAGTGAAAGATGGTGGTAAGGGAAAAGTAGAGGCAGTATTGAAGGGGAATAGTATATTACTTCTGCTAAATAAAAAGTTACAGGTGGGCACTGTTCTGGACTAAGCTCCTGCTCTGAGCCCCAAGAGACTGGGCTAAAAAATCATAATGGCATCACTCACACTAAAGCTCCAAGTCACCATGCCGAATCTGAGTTGTTTATCTTACCTTCCAAAATACCAGGATTAGAGTGATAACAGAATTTCCCAAACAGGCCAGATCCAGTTGGCATGGCAATGAAAATCCCTCTGCCCTAATCCTGCAGAGTAACCTGGTGTCAACCAATCAGACATTCTTCTGTTCTTTGTCAAGGTCCCAACCTTGCAGGGAAAGAACTTTCAAGTGAACCATCAACTCTTCATCTTATTGTTGTCTGTGATTTCTTTGGGAACCCTGGGCAGGTTCCTTGCTGTTGCAAGTGGCCTTTTTATGTGTATGAATGTTTTGCCTGAATGTATATTCCATGAACCCACATGTGTAGTGCCTGCAGAGGCCAGAAGATTCTCTGCAGGAAGGCTTCTTCTCTGCAAGAAGAGGGCATCAGATCCCCTGGAAGTGAAGTTTCAGATGGTTATTAACCACCATGTGGGTGCTGGGAATTGAACCTGGGTCCTCTGCAAGAGCAGCCAGTGCTTTTAACTGCTGAGCCGTTTCTCCAGCCCCCTCTGGGCACTCTTTAACAATGGCCTCCAGAGTAGACTCCTTTTGTGTGGTTTCCAGAGTTCAGGAGGCGGAGAAAAGCCGTTTCTCCAGCCCCCTCTGGGCACTCTTTAACAATGGCCTCCAGAGTAGACTCCTTTTGTGTGGTTTCCAGAGTTCAGGAGGCGGAGAAAAGGGCAGCACCTTTTGCTGTCCACAGGATGCTGCTGGGACTCTTTGGACACATATGCACTTTTGTGCACACAGGAGGACATAACAATCTTGGACATTCTAGAAAGGGAGTTGGCAGAAAAACCTCACTTTTTTGTTGGTTTTGATCCAGGGTTTCCCTATGTAGTTCAAGCTGGCCTCAAACTCAGGGTCCTCCTCCCTCCACCTCCCAGGTGCTAGAATTATAGGTGTGTGCCACCTTGCTCAGATAGGCTTTGTTTGTTTGTTTTGAGACAGGGTCTCCCTGTAGTCCCAACTGGCCTAGAACTCACTATGTAGACCAGGTTGGCCTCAGAGATCCACCTGCCTCTGCCTGGGAGAGTACTGGGATTAAAGGCTAGGGCTGCCACACGGTGCCCAGATAGCCTTTTGAATTTTTAAGACTAGATCTCATTTAGCTCAGTCTAGTATACAGCCATAGATGACCTTGAACTCTTGATCTTCCTGCCTCTATTGAGTTGCAGGATTACTTGTATACACCACCACATCCTGCCTTTAAATTTTTGTTCTAGTCTGGAAGGAAAAAGCTATGCTTTTGGCAGCTGGGTCTGAGATGAGGAGAAAGGAAAGGGATGCGATGGGCCATTCTGGGGCTGAGTTTACCTCCCTGAGCTCACTCATGTTTGAATTTATGTGTCCAGATCTACAACAACCTGCGTGAGGCCGTGGTGACCATGTACAGGACCGAAGGCCCCACAGTCTTCTACAAAGGCTTGGCTCCCACGGTGATTGCCATCTTCCCGTATGCCGGGCTGCAGTTCTCCTTTTACCGCTCCTTGAAGCTTGCCTATGACTGGGTCATACCGCCGGATGGAAAGCAGACCGGTGAGACATACCACCCCAGCCTTTGTGAACCTTAAAGGAAATGGTTTTCCTGTCAGAAGCGCAGGCCCGACTACTGTCTGTCCCTGGCTCTGTGATGTAGCTAACAAAACAAGCAACCCGGGGGCTTTTCCTCTTCCAGCTCTGCTTTGTGCTCTCATTCTTGCTACAATGGTTATGTCTGGCTGGTCAGGTTCCCTTTGGAGATTCAAGGATGCTTATGGGATTTGGGTCTGTGGTAGAGATTAGCTCTCGTGACATTATTTTTTTATTTTTATTTTTTGGTCCTTTTGAGACAGGGTCTCCCTGTAGCCCCAGCTGTCCTGGAACTCACTATGTAGACCAGGCTGGCCTCCCTCTCACAGAGATCCACCTTCCTCTGCCTCCCAGGTACCAAGATTAAAGGTGTGTGCCGCCATGCCTGCTCCCAGTGGGTTTTATGTCATCCATAAGTTGCATTTCTCTCACCCCTTCAATCTTGATTCTCTGGTTCAGGGAACCTAAAAAACCTGCTTTGTGGCTGTGGATCTGGAGTCATCAGCAAGACCCTTACGTATCCACTGGACCTCTTCAAGAAGCGCCTACAGGTGGGAGGGTTCGAGCAGGCCCGATCTACCTTTGGCCAGGTGAGCCATCCCTGTACAGAGAACTTGGACACTTGCACTCACTGGGCAGTGAAGGGATCAGCAGTCAGTAATCCCTACTGGGCAGCGCTAACAACTGTTCCCCCACCTTGTCATCTGTAGTTTTATTTCTTTGCATAGAAACACATACAGTTTAACAGAAATGGGGTTACACATACAAGGTGTTGTAACCTTTTGCCATTTACCAACTTGTCCTGAAGAGACAGTTTGAATGTTTTTTTTAAAAAATACTTTATTATTTTTATTTTATGAGTATTGCCTACATGTATGTGAGTGCACCAGTGTCTTGCAATGCTGAGGAGGTCAGAAGAGGGCTTTGGGTTCCCCTGGAACTGTAGTTAAGGACGGTTGTTAGCCGCCATGTGGGTGCTGGGAAGCGAACTCGGGTCCTCTGCAAGAGCAGTCAGTGCTCTTAACCACTGAGCCATCTCTCCAGCCCCGACAGTTTGAATTTGGACCTGTAGGAATGGCAAGAGTCCAGGACAGAGGCCCTTTTCCCAGTGGAAACGAGTATGTTCTGTTTTGGCTGGATGGTAGAGGCACCCATGGGAGGGCCTGTGAAGCTAAGTTGGGGAGAGAAGTCAGCTACGCTGGAGTGCCTTGAATACCAAGTGTCTTTTTGAGACAGGGTCTTCCTGTAGCCCCAGCTGGCCTAGAACTCACTATGTAGATCAGGCTGGCCTCTTTTTCACAGAAATCCACCTGCGTCTGCCTGCCAAGTGTTAGAATTAAAGGTGTGCTCCATGGCCGAATGCCAGGTGTCTTAACAATGTGTGATGTTGTCCTAGTTTGTTTCTCCATTGCTGTGACAAAACACTCTGACCACTACCAACTTGGGGAGGAAAGGGTTTATTTTATCTTACATCTTCCGGGTCACAGTTCATCAGGGAGCCCAAGGTAGGAACTCAGGGCAGGAACCTGGAGGCAGGAGCTGGAGCACAGGCCATGGAGGAACACTGCTTACTGACTTGCTCCCTGGCCTCTGCTCAGCCTGCTTTCTTTTTTTCTTTTTCTTTCTTTTTTTTTTTTTTGGTCTTTTTGAGACAAGGTCTCCCTGTAGCCCCAGCTGTCCTGGAACTCACTATGTAGACCAGGCTGGCCTTGAACTTACAGAGATCCGCCTGTCTCTGCCTCCCGAGTGCTGGGATTAAAGGCATGCACCACCACACCCAGCTCTAGCCTGCTTTCTTATGCAACACAGGCCCACCTGCCCAGGGGTGGCACCACCCATAGTGGGCTGGGCCCTCCCACATCATTCATCAATCAAGAGGATGCCCCACAGGCATGGCCACAGACCAGTTCAATGGAGGAATTCCCTAGTTGAGGCTCCCTCTACCCAGGTATGTCACGTTGACAGTCACGCTCTCCAGCACAGGTGTCACCCTCATCATCAGGGGTTCTTGCACTTTTGGAGCAAGGCATAGGGAGGGTTGTGCCTTGGGGACATAGGTCTGACAACAGCTTGTGTCAACTAGAGGCAAGGAAGTCAGGCTGGAAGTAGGCACTAGTTAGGATAAGAGCTAGTGATGGCCAGATTCAGATCTGTTGCCTAAAGGGGACCAGGTATGAGGAGGTGAAGGATCCAAAATGGTTCAGAGCTGTCACTGCATCCTCAAAGCCACAGCCAAACGTGTACCTCATCACCCAGAAGGAGCTCTGTCCAGGTGCTCACTCCCAGGCCTTCCTTTCATCCATTAAATCCACTTGAACTTAGTCCACTTGAACTAGAAAGAATAAAGAATTTCATTCACTCTTCCAACAATTAGTTATTGAGAGCTGTGTTGTGCCAAGTAGATCCAAATTTTAAATCTCTCTTTCCTTTCAACCTGAACCTTCTCCCCAGGTGCGGAGCTATAGGGGCCTCCTGGATTGCACCAAGCAGGTACTACAAGACGAAGGCACCAAGGGCTTCTTCAAGGGCCTGTCCCCCAGCCTGCTGAAGGCTGCCCTCTCCACAGGCTTCATGTTCTTCTGGTATGAGTTCTTCTGTAACCTCTTCCGCTGCATAAGGAGAGAGGACAGATAGCTGTGAGGGCAGGAGGGCCCTAAGGTCTTGACTGGAGGTACCTCCCTAAAGAAAGAAGCAAGACTCTCTGAGCTCATACTGCGTGATGGGTGCTGCCTGGGTGGCCTTCCAGACCAGCTGTCCTGAGCATGAAGAGTCATCAAGAACTGCTGGCAGAAGGGCAAGGGCCGCCTTTGTGAAAGAGCACAAGGAGAAGGAAGCGCATGGGCGGTGGGAACAAGGCCCCCCGAGAAGGAACCTGGGCGCTTTCTCCTGTGTCCAGCTGAAAAGGATTCAGATGCCATCCTCCACTTTATAGTTCTGTCTTTGAGGGACCTCTCCCAGTTCTGGATGGAGCCACCGCCTGAATGCAGAGGGCTGGGACTGGGCTCTCTGCAGAAGTCTCACCCCCCCACAATGTGGTCTGTTTCTCCTACCAACTTATTTAATAGACATTAAAACATGAAGCACGTTCCTTATCATACTCATGCACCTTCCCTTACAAATCACACCCCAGCACAGGGAGGATGATGGAAGGGGCCCTGTCTTCCTTGCCATCCTGAGGCAGTTCTCCTTAGCTTACTGGGAGAACGCTAAGCAAGTGGGTAACTTCTGAACCCCCAGCTTCAGACCTTTGCAGCTGCAAGGCTTCAGCACCCAGGCCTTGTTTTCTTAGGGACACAATGGGAAGGACTGTGAGGCCCAACCAGCTTCCAGGGAGAAAGCAGGAAGCAAAGGGGATATGCAGGCCAACAGGAGTAGACAGGTGCAGCCTCTACCCCCCAGTCTACCTCCATGGCTCCCTTTTCACTGAGTGTTGGGTTAGTCCTGCTGGGGTGGGGGATGGGAGGAGTGCACCATCAGGCCAGGTGGCAACAGCACCAGCTCTGGGTTTGAGCCTTAGCTCAGCGTGGGTGTTGTGTGGGTGTGGCCTCTGATCCCAGAAGGGCCTCAGCCCTGAGGCAGCATAGTGAGAGAGAGCAGAAGAAAGGGCAGCCAGCCTGGTGGGGCACAGTTGGCACCCAGGAGAGCTGCCAAAACCAGAGATTCAGACAAATGTGTCTAGGTAAAGAGAAACTTTCGTGGGGGCTGGAGAGATGGTGCAGAGCTTAAGAGCACTGGTTGCTCTTGCAGGGTTCGAGTCCCACCACTCACAAGGCAGCTAACAACTCTCCTAACTCCATGGAGTTCCAGGGGATTCAATGTCCTCGTCTCACCTCCTCAGGTGCACTTAGGTACATGCAGGCAATACACTCATACACATAAAATAATAAAACCCTTAAAGAGGAACTTTGGTGTCAGGAGTACATACACAGAAATATGACTGCCACCCTGTCCACATTCCTGGTTTTCTGGGGTTGGCCTGGTAGAGGGAGGAAGGGAAGTGGAGCCCTGAAATGACTGCTTCAGTGGCTGTCCCCATGGAAGCTGGGGCCTTTGCCCTGCCCCCTGTCAGTCTGGTTGTCTCACGCAGGCTCCCATCTTGACTTGGCTGTATGGTCCACTGCCCCTTCCCTGGGGACTTTTGGCTGCCGGTTCTTAAGGTCCAGGATGCTGTTAGAGGGTGTCTGAGTCTGGTGGGCTCTTGGCTTCCTGGGTTTGGAACTGCAGGAGACAGCTGACATTTTCTGTGAAGTCTGGTTGAAGTAGTCTTGTTCCTCAACGCGCTTGCTCTCTGGGGTTTCTTCTACCCAAGGGAAGAGTTCTCGTCACCTGTTTCCTGTGGCTGCCGTGACAGTTCAACGGTCGTTTTGACTACATCCATCAGTTCCTGTTCTCATCTGAGCTGGTGGGGGAGGAGCAGTAAAGCGCTCCCCCCTCCAAAAAAAAGACCGAGGTACGCAACCGGATACATCACTGGCGACAGTCAGCTGGGACACTTCCTCTCGAACTGCCCCCTTTGCCATTATTGTTTGCTCTGGGTGAAGAAGGATCAGGAGTTACCAGGGTGTGCCCCAACCCTGTGCATACCCTTCTCCAACTCTGGGCGCAGCAGGGAAGCAGCGGGACCCCCCAAGTTGCCCAGCGGCCCGCCTCTCCTCCCGGGGCCGGCCACGCCTTCCAGGGGCTCCTCCCACACCGCGCCGCTGGCCAAGCCTCTGACCCTGTTCACCTGATTCCCGCGAGAGACATGGTGACGAGGCGGGGGTGCCACCGGGCTAGACCGAGGTCTTGGAGCCCAAGAGCAGGTGCACCTGGGGAAGACGGGCGGGGGCAGGGGGAGCACCGACCGGGCGGGTGCAGGGCGAGGCGGCCTGCCGGCAGGTGGCGCTAACGAGCCCTTCCTCCCCCGCGCGGCGAGATGAGCTCAGCGGCCGCGCGGACAGGCGCGCCACCGGCCGGCCAGGTGGGTCCTGCGCCACCGGGAAAGGCGTTCCGGGCTTAGGAAGGGTGCGGAGACCTGGAGACCCGGGGAGGTCGGCCCCGTGAGGGACCCCAGCCCGGATCTCCGAACGCCACATCCAGCGCGTTACTGTAGGGGAAGGATCCCGAAGGCCGCCCAGGAACTCGGGGTGTCGAGTGGAATCGAGTGGAGAAGGGTCGGTTTTCTGCCGAGAGGCCAGTTTAACCAGTCTGCCCGGGGCCGTGGGATCTAGCCGGGGCCCTGGGAGTTCGGGCTCTGAGCCGCCCAGGAGACTCCGGCTCCCACCCACGCGGGCGGCAGGGGTGGGTTTTGTAGACCGAGAACTATGGCAAAGGCTGGGGGAGACGGTTGGAAAGAGGGGCTTGGAGTCCTGCTGGGATAGGGTGCGTAGCTTGGAGCCCTCAGCCTCGTCAGTCGCCCGCAACGGACGACTGGACGTCCATTTCTCCACAACCTCCCCTAAATTTACCCTGATATTAGCTGATAATAACTCGAGTCCTGTCAGAACTGTAGGCGCATTCCGCCTTCATCTCATGTTATCGCCGAAGCCTGGGGTTTCCTAAGCTGATCAGCAGGTGTCTAGTTGGGGCTCAAGTCTCCAGCAGACGCCAGACTTGGTGGGCTCTCAGCCAACCTCTGAATGCTGCAGTTCAGTGGCCCCTCCCCACCCAGGGTCTGCAGGACTGGGATCTGGAGCTGTGCGATTCACACCTGAAGCCTCTCCGCTGTCTGCTTCTTAGGTGCTATCATTAGTTCCATCCAGTGAGCAACTGCTGGGGCTGGACCATCATGGGTGAGGCCAGCAGAGAGGAATATAAAATCCAGTCTTTTGATGCAGAGACCCAGCAGCTACTGAAGACAGCACTTAAAGGTGAGCTTAGAAGATCTGATTGAGCAAGAATTGCAGGGGGCTGAGCCCCAGACCCAGGGGTTCTGCCTAGTCCTCCCTTTGCTTTCTGAGAATAAGAGTCACAACCTAATTCTTGAACAGGAAAACAAGCTACATTAGGTCAGTGTTTGGGGGGATGAATCACAGAGCCGTCTTTAAGACTGTGAAGTCTTTAAGTACCCATGAAGGAGAATAGTCTGCTCTTTACAGCCCTTTGCACTGGACTTGGTTCCTGTGCTGCTACAGCCAGCTCTCCTGAATGTGCAGAGCTGCCCGACCTGGGACAGAGGATGGAGAATCAGCTTGGCGGAGAAGATACGTAATTGCCTGGCCTAGTACCTTTTCATTATAACACTCAAAACAGAAGTTTGACCTAACAATTAGCAATGCCCATCACAGGCCAAGCTAAGCCTGTAGGGGATGGCCTTGCACAGTGCTCATGTCAGGGACCTCTATGTGTTATGAAGACTGTTGAGCCCCTGCAGTGGTGTGTACCTGTAATTCCAACAGATTACAGAGGCCGGAAGATTACTACAAATTCAAGGCCAACCAGGTCTACATAGAGTTCCAGGACAGCGAGGCTGGAACTTCTCAAAAAAAAAAAAAGGAAGTCTTGGCAGTCAGAGTACATTCCTCAACCTACTGCCAAAAGATGTGTGTCCTAAGAAACTACATTCTGGTACTTTGGTCTCTTCCAGCCACATAATTCTTTTTATTTTTTGAGGCAGGGTCTCACTGTATAATCAGGTTGGTCTTAAACTCACAGAAATCTGCCTGCCTCTGCCACCTGAATGCTGGGATTAGAGGTATGTACCACCACACCTGGCAAAATACAATCTTTTTTGTTTGACACAGGGTCTTCCTGTAGCCACAGCTGGCCTGGAACTCACTATGTAGACCAGGCTGGGGTATATCTCTGAGACCTTCCTGCCTCTGCCACCTGAATGCTGGGATTAGAGGTATGTACCACCACACCTGGCAAAATACAATCTTTTTTGTTTGACACAGGGTCTTCCTGTAGCCACAGCTGGCCTGGAACTCACTATGTAGACCAGGCTGGTGGATATCTCAGAGACCCTCCTGCCTCTGCCTCCAGAGTATTGGGATTAAAGGTGTGAGCCACCACATCCAGCGAAATAGTGTTTTTAAAAATTTATGTATACCTGCTTGTATGTGCACCACATGCATGTAGTGCCTATGGAGGCAAGAGGGTGTCAGATCCCCTGAAACTGGAGTTACAGTGCCGGGAACCGAACCTGGAACCTCTACATTAGTAGCAAGTGTTCTTCACTGCTGAGCCATCTCTCCATCTGTTATCTGATTGGGCAACCAGGGGACTAACAGTTGAACTTAACCCTAGGTATGGTGACTGCACCTTCTTTGTAGATCAGACTGGTGTGGAACTCAGTACGTAGACCAGGCTGGCCTAAAACTTGTGGCAATCTTCCTACCTCTGCAACTCTAGGCATGCCATCATGCCCAGCTCCTTTCATCCTTTGTTTTGTTTAAAGACAGGGTTTCGTATAGCCCAGGCTGACCTGGGACTCTGTACGCAAGGGTAACCCCGATCTCCTGATCCTTCTGTTTCCACTTCTTGAGTGCTGGGATTACAGGCATGCCACTGTGCCTGGCTTTTTTTCCCTTTAAGTATGTTATGGGAATGCTCTGCTACAACTATCTCAAATCCTCCAATGCAGTGGCACATTCCTTTAATTCAGCAGGCAGGAGGCAGAGGCAGGCCAGCCAGGGTTACACAATGAAACTCTCACTCACAAACAAAACAATGGGGCTGGAGAGATGGCTCAACAGTTAAGAGCACTGGCTGCTCTTGCAGAGGACCCAGATTTGGGTCCCAGCACTCACATGGTGGCTAACAACTGTCCATAACTCCAGTTCCAGGAGATCCAGTCCTCACTTCTGGCCTCTGCTGACATTGCATACATCGGTGCACTTACATACATATAGGCAAAATACACAAGTGCTGACATTGCATACATCGGTGCACTTACATACATATAGGCAAAATACACATAAAATAAAAATATGCATAGTGGGGTTAGAGAGATGGCTCAGCAGTTAAGAGTACTGGCTGCTCTTGCAGAGGACTCAGGTTTGATTCCCAGCACCCATATGGCAGCAAGCAACTGTCCGTAACTCCAGTTCCAGGGGATCCGGCACCCTATTCTGACCTCCATGGGCATTGCATGACACAGGTGCACTTACACACATGCAGGCAATACACTCATACACATAAAATAAAAAATTAAAACAGCAAACCTCTGTCCACGCCTTAGGAGATGGCGGCAAATGTGGTAAGCAGGCAGCTGTGGACTCCCCTCCTGTCTCTACTCTAGATCCAGGTGCTGTGGACTTGGAGAAAGTGGCCAATGTGATTGTGGACCATTCTCTGCAGGACTGTGTGTTCAGCAAGGAAGCAGGACGGATGTGCTACGCCATCATCCAGGTTGGGGGGCCTGGCAGAGGAGTGCTTTGAGGAAGGCACCTCAGGAGCGGGCACAGCAGAACAGATGCATAGGATTTTAGACAGAGAAAGGCTGGGGTGGGTAGAGTGGCCATGGCCCTGTCCTCTGCTCCTTACTACCCCTTCCCTGGCTCACAGGCAGAGAGTAAACAAGCAGGCCAGAGTGTCTTCCGTCGTGGACTCCTCAACCGGCTGCAGCAGGAGTACCAGACCCGGGAGCAGTTGCGAGCATGCTCCCTGCAGAGCTGGGTCTGCTACGTTACCTTTATCTGTAACATCTTTGACTACCTGAGGGTGAGGCAAGGGAAGCCACACAGTTCGGCTGTCTCCCAAGGTCAAGATTGGACGGTTCCCCATGGCCACTAATGCTGCTGCCCTGGCCCCTCTTGCTCTCTCACAGGTGAACAACATGCCCATGATGGCCCTAGTCAACCCTGTCTATGACTGTCTCTTCCGGCTGGCCCAGCCTGACAGTCTGAGCAGGGAGGAGGAGGTGAGTGGCCATGAGACAGAAGGCTGTGGAGAGCAGGCTGGCTCTGCTGAGTACCAGCCCCGTCTGTCTCCTTGGAGGACACTGCTTCTAGGAGCCTAGTAGGGGAACTGAAGGCCTGTAGCAAATACAAGACAAATTACTGTGTCTGGAATTTATCCAGAACAGAGAGCAGCCAAAAGCCAAGTAGCTGAATAGAGTCTTTCCAGTAGGAAAGCCAGCCTATGATAGGAATGGGGAGAGCCATGGCCATCTGTGGACACAGATGGCCCAGAAGCCAACTTTGGGTCAGGTAGTAAGAGGTAGGCAGAAAAGTAGGGGTAAGTAGGTTTAGAAAAAGGCCTGAGTTCAGCTTAGTCAGATGTTACAGATAAGAACCTGAACATTTCCTGTTTGGTAAGATATGGGCAATACCCACTGGTGTCAGGATGAAGCTGCTGTAAAGGGCAAAGCACGGTACCCAGTAAGCACTGTGACTGTGTGCCAGGCAGCCCTCTCTGGCTGAGCAGGTCTTCCAATCCCCCTGCAGGTGGACTGCCTGGTGCTGCAGCTGCACAGGGTTGGGGAGCAGCTGGACAAGATGAATGGGCAGCGCATGGATGAGCTCTTTGTCCTGATCCGGGATGGCTTCCTGCTCCCATCGGGCCTCAGTTCCCTGGCCCAGTTGCTGCTGCTGGAAATCATCGAGTTCCGGGCAGCTGGCTGGAAGACCACCCCCGCTGCCCACAAGTATTACTACAGTGAGGTTTCTGACTAGGTGCAGTGCCACAGATGCTTATGACAGCACATACCTTCCTGCAGCCCCTCCTGGCACCAGAGTCTTTGCTTCTCCCAAAGTCCCTTCTAGACTTTCACAACTGCTCTGGCCCACCCTGTTTCTTCCTGTACTCAAAGAGTTCGGGAGAAACCAAACAGATCTGGTGCCCTGGCTTGAAACTGTCCCACATTAGCCTGTCCCCAAGTCCTGTCACCTTCTTTCTCCCACCACCTACCTGGGCCAGGCAGAGAAAGGTAACTCCTAACAACCACTGAACTGTGTAACCACTGGTGCAATACTTCCTTGGTGCCTCAGTTTCCCCATCTGTAAAATGGGTAACCATAGCCACTGGTGACTGGTGGGATGCTTTGGAATGTTGAAGGGCAGAAGCAGAGCACAAATTTTAAGAGAAATTTTGTTTTAGACATTTTGTACAAAAGACCACTGTGGAGATAAGCCTGTTTCTTCCAGTCAGGTTTAATGTGTAGCAGTGCCTCCTCAGGCTAGGGTGAGGATTTTCTAATAAACCTTTTCTGAAACCAAAACTGCTTCCTTTCATAGCATCCAAAGGTGAACCCACAGGCTGAGGAAAGAGAAGATGGGGCCTTGGTGTCTTGGAGAAAATCTCTAAGCTATGCTCCCTCTTTACAAGGGGGTAGAGCAGGGAAACCAATTCTAATCCCAAAGAAAGGGTGGATGTAGCACACCTGCGACTGCACCTGAGATAACTGACTGCAGGTGGCCCCGTCTTCATTTCTGTGAAGGGCAGTATCATTCCTTCAAGTTGTACTTCGCTCAATTTCTAGTTGGTATGGAAAATCTTGAAAGGGGTTCACTGGTGGGACCTAAGATTGTATTACACACGTGCCCCTCCATCCTTAAAAGCAAAGTCATCCTTTACTCACAGGTACTTTCCACTGGGGCAATAGCTCAAGTGGTTTCTTGCAGCAATGTCCTGGGCTTTCTACCTCTTCTTTCGGGCTACCACCAGCGGTAGTGGGCCAGTGCCCGGTTGGCCTCTGCCATCTTGTGCATGTTGTGCTTCCTCTTGATCACGGGACCCCTGTTGTGAAAAGCCTCTAGCAGCTCATGTGACAGCTTCTCTGGCATCAGTGTCCGCCGGTGCTTATTCTCTCGGCATTCTGTGATCATCCATTTCATGGCCAGGAAGCGGCGACGGCGGTCAACCAGAGGCACAGGGACCTGGGTGAGGAGATAGGATAAGGGTGTGTTGGGCCTGTTGGTGTGCAGACCTCCTGTCTCTCTGACCTCTGAGAAGTGCTCATGCATTTTTTCTGAACTAGTTCTGGTAAAGAGTCCTGAGGAGAGAAGCCAGACTCTTCTCAGAGCTTCCAGTACCTTGGGTGACTTCAGTGACACAGACATAAGGGACAGTCACTCAGTAAATACTCAGCACTGACCTCCTTCCTGCCCAATGGGAAACATTTAACAAGTTGACACAAGCTTCATCTTGGAAAAGCTCTGTCAGCTGAGGGAAGTTAGCCACTTCAGAGTAAAGGTGCCTAAAACTATGACTTTGAACAAGAATCATTTGCCAGGTACTAAAGATGCAGCCAGTGATAAAGGCTCTACCCTTACCAGTTTGTACTGAAAAATGAGAAAACAACTTACATGACAATATAAAGTAACTAAATGCTATGACGGCTGCCTAGTTCAGTTCAAATCTGGCAAATTGTCAGTCACGTGACAAGTACTAGTGTAGACTGGCATATAAAGGTGGAATATAAACACAGTCCCCTTACAGCGAGTTTACAGTTTAAGCCACATGATGCTGGACAGAAGGGGAGGGGAGTGGGTTCCCAGAAGGTGGTATTTAACTACTTCTTTCTTTTCTGCCTTTTCCATCCTATGCCTGTGGGTTTTTATTTATTTATTTATTTTTGGTCTTTTTGAGACAGGGTCTTCTTGTAGCCCCAGCTGTCCTGGAACTCACAGAGGATCTGCCTGTCTCTGCCTCCCTGGTGCTGGGATTAAAGGCATGCGCCACCACGCCCAGCGCCTGCCTGTGGTTTTTACGCTTTGGAACTTGGGTGAACAGAACTTGATGGTCTTCAGTCTCTAGAGAGCCATTACTCTTGGCCCAACTCTGGACCCTCCCTCCCCCATCTTGTTTCACATGTGGACATCCCTGTTCCTTGCCCATTCACCTGGTAGAAATGGCCCCCCTTGAGGATGGATTCGAGCCCAATCACAGGCTCACAATTTTTCAGTGCCTGGTGGAAGATCTTGTAGGGGTTGCGTTCAATGTTTGCTTGTTCCTCCACAGAAGCAGCATGGTACTTCTCAAACTGCTTCCTTTTCAGAGTTTCTAGAGTCTGCAAACAGAAGGTAGAAGGCTGCTTAGGGTCCTTCAAGAGTTCACCCAGACCAGTACTTGGGAAGTGGAGGCAGGAGTTCAAAGTTATCCTCAGCTATACAGCAGGTTTGGGGTTAGATTGGACTCTGTGAGACCTTCCCTTAAAACAACAGTTTAGCCAGCTCAGTACCCTACCCCTTTACCCCATCACCCAGATCTTTCACAGCAGTGCAGTTCTCCTGGCTTTGCTAGACTAGGACACAAGGGATGGGCTGAGGTGGTTTACTGTCTTTTTTTTTTAATGTGGGCTGAATGGCAGACTCCTGAAGGACTTCATTAAAGTCCCTACCTCCACACATATACAGGAATACATGTTAACGACAGGCATATTAACCCACTCTCAATTTTTAAAGCTGAGCTGAAAAAACCAGGCACAGTACAAAGCCAGTGGAAAAAGAAAGATAACAGAAGAGGAAGGAATGGATTACCTGGGCCATGAGGGATCTGGCCAGTACTTTATTTCCTCCTTTCATCATCATGTTGGTGAATTTACTTCAACGAGAAAGACAATATTTTAGCTTCCCAAGGCTGTGTTACGGAATTCTTACCAGAAATCTTCCAGGCCTTAGAAAAAGAGTGTTTCCCTCTAACCTGATGACTGGGTCTGCAAACACGGAGCTTGTGTGCGTCGATGGGGCAGCTTTGATGAGCTGGGTCGTCCTGACCTCCTGGTGATATTTTTCCTCTTCGGTGAGTTCCGTCACAGGCTTCTGGTAATAATTTTTGTCAATCAAGGGATCTTTAAATTCAGGAGCATAGCGGACACACCTCACCTGGGTTAGCCTGGGAGAAGGAAGCAGCAGCGTACAGAAGCTGACTCCAGGAGCAAACACGCTTGACTTAACAGGCCTGTCTGCCATCACACTGACAGGGAGCGCGGCGTACTTCACCTGGACCGCAGCGATATCCGCGCTGGTCCCAAGAGGCAGGAAGCCCTTCGGGAAACTTCCAGGTAAACTTCCTCCTTGCCAAGTGCTACCGGAAAGGGTAAGCTCCCCCTCAGTGGATTTCCTCCCCGACCCTCCCAGGAGATTCCGTGTCTGGACTCTTTAGCAGGGCCGCACTTTCTGCTCCGAGCAGCACCGTCGATACCAACCCCACCTGTCACTCAAGGGGCGCGTCACTAAGCCCCCAAATCGGTCCAAGGTCACGCAGCCAGCTTAGTGGCTTGAACTCGGTCATCTCGGCCCCCCGAGAAGGCGCTTTCCAATACCCACCGCGGCCCGCCCGTGGCTCCGTTCCTCCCTCGCAGGCCCTTTCGGGAAGGCGCGAAAGCCGTCCCCAGCGCCCACCGTCCACCGCCCGTGGCCCGCTCACCCTGGGAGCCTGCACACGGCACGCCGTATACTCAGGACCAGCCCGGACCACTGCGGCGCAACCCGCAGAGCGGATGCGGCCATCTTGGCTGGCTACAAGGACCCCAGAGGGCTGCCCTCGGCGCGCCTGACGAGCGGCGCGCTCCGGGTTAGAGACGCCACGGGATCGTCACGCCGCATTCCACGCCATTGATCGGGCGGCCCCCACGGAAGAACCCACAGAAAACACTCGGCCCCCGCCCTCCTCCTCCCGGACCCCCGCCGCAGCCGGGCGCGTCCCTCAGGGGCAGCCCTGACCGCTCTCAGGCCCCCATGCAGGCCCCGCCCCGCACGGGCTCCTGCGGAATCTCGCGAAGTTTGAGACCGCTTGGCCGGATCAGGCGACTGCAATATGGCGGAGGCGGAAGGGGAGAGCCTGGAGTCCTGGCTGAGTGAGTATCGCAGCCGTCCTACCTGCCCTCTAGCGCCGCGCCCCCTTTCCCCGATGCCGTCCCCGGGCCCTGCGGCGGCGCTGTCCTACAGCCAAGTCCAGACTTACCTCGGCTGGCGGCCCGCGCTCACGTCCCTTCGTGAGCCGGGACCCTGGCCTGCAGTGCTCCCCCGGCTCCGCGCGCCGCAACTGGGGCTCGAGCTTCCTCAGGCCAGGGGAAGGCGACGGCCAGGTTCTTCCGGAGATCGAGGTGGGATGTTCCTGACTTGGGCTTTGGGAGCTTGCACTCCACAGTCCGAGGAATGAACAGATTTGGGCTTGTCCCTTCGGGGGTGATGGATGCTGCGGTCCGGACACACCCAGCTGGCAGCTTCGGGGTGTGACCATTGACTCGAGAAATGATCGCCTTGCCCAGGAAGGATACTTGAGAGTAGACTGGTTCGAGTCCCAGGACCCACATGGCAGCTAACAACTGTCTGTAACTCCAGTTCCCTGGGATCCGACAGCTTCTTCTGTCGTCCGCCGGCATTGCACGGCACAGGTGCACTTATCTACATGCAGGCAATACACGCATACACATAAAATAATAAAAATAAAATATTATATATATATATATTTGGAGCCGGGTCCCCCCTGTACCCCCAGCTGTCCTGGAACCCAAAATGTAGACCAGGCTGGTTTTAACCCCAGACATCCGCCTGCCTCTGCCTCCCAAGTGCTGGGATTAAAGGCTTGCGCCACCACGCCCGGCGTTTAATATTTTCTTAAAAAATAGAAAACCCCTCCAGGAGATTGAAATTAGGCTTTAAGGGGAGCACGTCCCAAAAGAGAAGAAAAGTAAGATTAAATTTGCAAACCCTTCTCTATATATGGAACTGGCCTCCAAGGAGTGCACAGTGCTGAGTTACAGACATTTGTTAAAATCATTTACCTACTGGGTCTGGTGTACAGTCCTGTAGTCCCAGCTGAGGTAGGAGGATAGAAAGTTTAAAGCCTGCCTGGGCTACAAAGTGAGTTCAAGGCCAGGCTGAGCAGCTTAGTGAGACCCTGTCTTAAAAAGTAAAAAGAAAGCTGGGCTTACAAGGTTCCGTGTTAGAGCACTTAGCACTATGAAGTCCTAAGTTCAGTCCCCAGTCTTGCAAAACAAAAATAGTTGACCAAGTATCCTTCCTAGCAAAACAGGTTCTGCTGCAACATTTTTTATTTATTTTTATGTCTGAGTTATTATGCCTGCTTATATGTAAGTGCACCTATGTCATACACTATTTAAGGAGGACAGAAGAGGGCGTCAGATCCCCTGGAACTGGAGTTACAGTTGTTAGCTGCTGTGTGGGTGCTGGGAACCAAACCCAGGTCCTCTGCAAGAGTAGCCAGTGCTCTTAACTGCTGAGCCATCTCTAACCCCCTGCAACAGTTTTTGCTGTTGTTTTGTCTTTTTGAGACAGGGTCTCCCTGTAGCCCCTGCTGACCTAGAACTCACTATGTAGACCAGGGTGGCCTTGAACTCACAGAGATCTGCCTGCCTCTGCCTTCCCAGTGCTGGGATTAAAGGCCTGCGCCACCACATCCGCCACCTCACCCAGCTGTTGTTTTTGAGACAGTTTGTTTCCCTGGTAGTCCCAACTGGCTGGAACTCACTACTGCCAACAGGCCCGCTCACCAGTTTTTTGTTTGTTTTGTTTTAAGAAAGCTCTGAGTCCAGTCAAAGCACTTTTCTACAATCATGCACAGTGGAAATGGTTCAATTCACACAATAATGGGGATACTGGAGTAATCTAAGTGACTTAAGCTGAGCTTAGTGGACTCTTTATTTTTTTGTTTTTGTTTTTAAATATTATTATTTTTTATGTGTATGAGTGTATTGCCTGCATGTAAGTAAGTGCACCTGTGCCATGCAATGCCAGTGGAGGACAGATGAGCCGTCAGATCCCCTGGAACTGGAGTGACAGTTGTTAGCTGCCATGTGGGTGCTGGGATTCGAACCCAGGTCTTCTGCAAGAACAACCAGTGTTCTTAACCGCTGAGCCATCTCTCCAGCCCCCTTATTTTTTCTGTTTTTATTAGAGAGTCTCAGGAAACCCGGCTGACTTCAGATTGGCTATGAAGTCAAGGCTGGTGGTAAATTCCTGATCCTCCTGGCTCTACTCCCAACCGTTGGAATACAGGTGTACACTACCATGCTGGGCAAAGATCTTTTTTTCCTGTTTCCCTTCACACAGACTGGTGTGACTTGTGTACCAGTCTAGTGTACCCTTTCCATTTGAGTGAAGATCCTTATTACCCCATGATTTGCCTGAATTACTGCAGCCCCTCTCCTGGTCCATTCCACATTCTGCTCCCTGGAGAGCTGCTATATTTGATCACCCTTCTAGTGCTGTGATGCTACTACCCATCCCTTATAATCTGTCTTTGATCATATCCTTCCTTTTTTTCAGTGGCCTTCTGATGCTTTTCCTGTGTCAAGTTCTTGTCCGCCCACACACACTGTTCTCACTTACCTGGAAGCCCTGCTCCCCTTTGCTCAGTTTAGTGCCTCAAAGCCATATCCAGTTCTTCCCCACAAACCATCTCTGGGTAACTTCAGTCCTCTCTAAATTCTTGCCTGCTACATTCAACTAGCGTTCAGCAGGAGAATCAAAAAGTTTTAAGCTGAGCATGGTGCCGTAGGCCTTTAAATCTCAACACTTGGGAGGCAGAGGCAGGCGGATCTTTGTTAGTTCAAGGACAGCCTGGTCTGCATAGCTAGTTCCAGGCCAGCTGGAGGGGGCTGGAAGGGGCTACAAGGAGACCCTGTCTCAAAAAAGACAAAAAAACAAAGATGTTTAAACAGTTGTTCAGTGGTGGTGCAAGGCACTGACTTCCATCCCCAGGCACAAAAACAAAAAGCAAAACGACACAGGAGATTCAAGCAGTCTTTACCTTCAGTTTGATGGATGTGACACGGGAATAGAAATGATGTGGAAATTGGGTGGAACTTGAAATGATAAAGATACTAATTGGTGCAGCACTTGGGAGGCAGAGGCCGGTGGCTCTCTGTGAGTTCAAGGCTAGCCTGGTCTCCATAGTGAATCCAGGCTAGCTGTGGCTGCAGAGAGACCCTATCTCAAAAAGACCAAAAAAAGATAGTAATTGGGAGTGGAAGTGCTAAAATGTAGGCAGTTTATTTAGGAAATCAGAGAAAGGGGACATGAAAAATGACCTGATAAGAAAACAGTTGGTCTGGAGAGATGGCTCTGTGGTTAAGGGCACTTGATGCTCTTCCAAAGGACCTGAGTTTGGTTTCCAGCATCCCTTTCTTGCCTTCACAGGCACCCGTGCACATTTGCACATACCTGCCATACATAGACACAAATATAAAGACAGTGGTCAGGCTAGTTCTTAAAGAATGACAAACAGCAGGGCGTGGTGGCACAGGCCTTTAGTCCCAGCACTGGGGAGGCAGGCAGATCTTTGTGCGTTCAAGGCCAACCTGGTCTACATAGTGAGTTCAGGCCTGCTAGGGCTACAGGGAAAGCCTGTCTTGAAAAGACAAGAAAAAAAGATTGGCAAACATTGACTAAGAAAGAGAACTCTGAATGGTAATGTGGAGGGAGCCCAGCCTGTTTGGAGCACATAGTAGTAACAGATGTTTGGCTTGGTCAGGCAGTTAAGATCCTGTAAGAGTATAGGGGAGGTAAAAGCTGGAATAGTAGGTCCAAATTCTGGATCACTGGTAATTCCTGCCCCAGGTTTCCATCCCCCCCTATTCTGATAAAATCATGTTGGGAGGGCCTTAGAAATGGTGAGAACAAGCCAGGTGTGGTGGCTCATGAATGTTTTCCCAGCACTTGGGAGGCTGAGGTAGGAGGATCTCTCCAGGTTGGAGTCCCATGTAGGCAACATAGTGAGACCCTGTCTCAAAAAAATAAAAAGACAGGCCAGGGGTAGTGGTGCACACCTTTAATCCCAGCCCTTGGGAGGCAAAGGCAGGCAGATCTCTGTGAGATCAGACCAGCTGGAGCTCTACAGGAAGACCCTGTCTTGAAAACAAAAATCCTCAAAAATCAGCTGGCAAGATGGTTCAGTGGGTAGAGACCCTTGCTGTACAAGCCTGGCGACACCTGTGTTCCGTCCATGAAACCCATGTAAAGGGTTAGAGAACCATCTACACAGAGTTCTTTGACCTCCCCAAGTGTGCCATGGCATACACACACCTGCACTCCCATCATAAACCCAATAAAAAGAGTGGGTGTGAAAAGTTCTGGAAAAAGGCGAGAAATAAGAAGTGTAGGGGAGGGCTGAGAAAGGGAGAGATTTAGAGAAGAGAGAACTACAGGACTGCGGGAATGGCAGGGAGAGGGATGGCATTGACCACTGGCCATAGGGTTTCACACCTGAGTGCCTGGGAATGGCTGCAAAACAGGCTTTTGAATAGTTGTACTGTGTGTAGAAATAAGGGAAGTCAGTAAGGAGAAGTACCCAGCTTGTTTTAGACTTGCTTATCAAATTAACTTAATTGCTGTCTTGTCTTATGCTCCGGATTTTTTTTCCTCACATGTGCCCCAAAGGCACAGTTTCCTCAAGGGTTAGCCTGTGTCTTGTACTTATCCTAGTCCCTCCAGGTCTAGCAACTGCTCATTTATTCTCTCTGGGTACCTGAACGAGACAAGACAACTGACCAGGTTTCTCCTTTGGTTCAAGACACAGGAGTTCAGATTGATTTTGATCCCTTTCTGTGCCTTTTCTTGCAATCTGCTGTTTCTAAGTCGTCATTGTGTGCAGCTTGGCTTCTTTGAAATGGCCAAGCCTTGTTGGGCTGGACAGTCAGTGCTGCCTATTTTCATTCCTACCTTTTGAGGGCCCATAAGATAGAATTAAGCTGAAAATGAAAGCAGGAACTGTAAAGGCATCAAATCAAGGAAATGAGGCTTTCACCAGAGACCCCAAAATAGACAAAAACCATGAATCAGAACAGGACCCAAAAGAGTCGTTCTAGAAGGCCAGACCTGCAGAGGAGAATGC